CCTGCTGCGATGATTCATGTCTTCCTCTCCCCCAAGGCAGGGCTGTAGATAAGGCCATGATATGCACATGGCCCATCTTGATATGCATGTGGCCTTCTGCGGGGTGGAAGGTAGTGCAGGATTGGGACCTAGATGCAACAATTAAATATACACTAGATATATGTATGGGTGAAGTACAGAAACCAACATAGAGCTTGTGTGCGCAGGCTGGAGTCTAAACATATGCCTGGAATGCAGATGTATATTTTTATTTAGTGTAATGCAGTAAACATTTAATTTTATGGTAATAAAATAGATGGTAAGTATGTCTAATATAATATATTCTTATGAAACCATAAATGACGAGTCATGGTGTAAACTGGTGGCCAGAGGCAAGGCTTGGGGAGGAATGCAGGGTCCTATGCCCTCCCAGATTGCTCAGTCACATGGTGTGGCTGGGCCTCCTCCCTGCGGAGCAGCTGAGCCAGCGAGCTGCACCAGGCATGGAGAGGCAGAGCTCTGCATGGAGAGGCAGAGGAACAGGTGGGAGCTGCATGAAGGGGCTGCTGCTTTCCAGGAGGGGAGGAGCTGCTGGGGGACAGGGGACATGACTCAAGCTGTTTTGGGGTTGTGTTTCTCCCCCTCTCCCCCGCCCCTGTCAGCAGGCATGGGTTGTCTATGCTGGTGGCTGATCCATGAGCGGGAAGGCAAAACTCACACTCCTAATAAATGCACAGCTCCAGGTTCTTCGCTCATGAGTTTTCTTTATTCACTTAAAAAACAAAGATTCAAAGTGACTCAACCCAACCTGAAGAATTTCACTGTCCCTCTGGGTCTTGTCTTTACTCTTGACTCCAGGGCTTCAGAGCCCTCCCCACCTGAGGCTCCCCTCACCCCCTTTTCAGGCCATCTGACTGTCAGGTGCAGAAAGCCCATATGCAGGTCCTTCCCTGACCCTGGGTCTCTCCTGACTACTCTCTTGTTTAAAAGGCAGGAAGCCTTCTATGCCATTTCCTGTAGGGCACATGACTAGGAGCAGGCATGTAACCTGCAACTACAGCTCCCGGCTGTAAATGGTCAAAGGGAAATAACAGGCACACTGGGACACCCACATGCGCCTGAGGCCCAGTGCCCTGTTAGTCTGCGTTTGCTAGTATAATCAATATTAACTAGTATTTAGTTTAGTTCTAAAACAGATTCAGCCACGAAAGTGAAGTGATTGAAAGTGAACATTCATATGATAAATGTTAATAACAGCGAGCCAGATTCCATTCTCACACCAGTGAAAGTTATGTAGGGTTACCATACGTCCGGATTTTCCCGGACATGTCCAGCTTTTTGGTCCTCAAATCCCCATCCGGGGGGAATTGCCAAAAAGCCGGACATGTCCGGGAAAATAGGGAGGGGTCTTGGGGCTTGGGTCCGGGCTGGAGCCGCTGGGGCCGGCGGTGCTCAGCCGCAGGCCGGAGCTGCTCGGCTGGGGCTGGTGCCCCGGGGCCTGAGCCGAGCTGGAGTCGCTAGGGCCGGGGGTGCTCGGCCAGGACCGGCGCGCTCGGCCGGAACTAGGGCCGGCGCCCCAGGGCCCGAGCCAGGCCGGGCCGGAGACGCCGGGGCCAGAGCCTCTTGGCCGGGCCGGCCGGCTGCCAGAGGGAGCCACTCGGCCGGGGGGGGGCCGGACTGGGCCGCGCCTCCTCACACACCCCCCCGCCACCGCCCAGCCCCAGCCCCAGCTTACCTGCTGCCTCCCTGTTTCAGGCTTCCCGCGAACATTTGATTCGCGGGAAGCAGGGGCGGGGGAGGAGCAGGGGGCGGAGCGTTCAGGGGAGGGGGCGGAGTTGGGGACGGGACTTTGGGGAAGGGGCGGAGTTGGGGTGGGGCTGGGGCCCTGTGGAGTGTCCTCCTTTTTTTTTTTTATTAAAATATGGTAACCCTAAGTTATGAGTTACTCCACCAAAGTGAATTGAGTTACTTAAGTTTCACAGCACAGTGGACTCCGCTCCAGGTAATGCAGAAATTGGAATCCTCTCAGAATATACTATGAAAAACAAGAAACTGAAAAAATATTACTGTTCCCTCAATGCAGCACTAAAGAGGTTTTTTCCCCTGAAATTCAGTTGACTGTACCACCAGTGACACCATTAAAACTCTCAGCACAGTAATTAGGACATAAAGGTTTCTGGCTGCAAATTTCCTAAACCTCAACTAAAATGAGCAGTTAACCCCTTAAGCAACAGTTACTTAAGTTGTAAGTCCTGAAGACCTACTTGGAGTTCCAGCACCTGGCCCTCCTCTCAGCAGTGAGTGAGAATTTGCATGGAGGTGCCTTCTCTCTGCACATCACAATAAGGCTGCCTCTGTGGATCTAATCACCATCTGCTGCTATGGCCTACTCCATTTTCCATGCCCAGCCTTGGGCTCTGGCTTAATAGGTCAAGCTGTATAATCTCTTACTGCAAGGACTCCACTCCTATCATCACTACAACCAAAACCCCACCACCTAGCTTCTCTACAGGTTATGCTGGAGGGAAAGGAACTTCTACCTGCCCCTCTATTGTACAGTCTTTCTTCTGACTACTTGAGGCAAGCCTATCCTTATGTCTATGAACCTCACAAGATGCTCCAAGCGAAGGCAACATATTCCAGCATCTGGGCCAAACCACTCCCTAGCTAAAATCCTTTCAGATCCCAAAAATGAGATCAGTTAAAGCCAATGCAACTGAGCTCAGATCACGATGCTCTTATCCCTATAATATCATGAACGCTCTTACCTTTCTGGAATGAGTCCCCACTTATAGTACATACCTGACCACAGGTTTCACGAGCAAACTTGAGAATGGGAGTATGAATCGAGCCACTGATGGGAAGGCAAACCACGAAATCCCACCTCACCCTTAAAAAGCTTCCCCCAGCTAATCACTGAGATGGGTGGGTTCATGCCCATCAATCAAAAGCCCCTGAAAAGTCATGGTGGAAGGTAGGATGCCAGCCAGGCCAGCTGTCTTTGACCTCTGTCGACTTCCCCCCCAGGGCCTAGACCCTCTGGAAGAGTTATAGGATCAGTAATCTCTGGAGAAGACCTCTGCTGCTGAGCTGAGTAGATCCCACTATTAGGGGGGTTGGATTGCAACCTTGAAGTGGGGTCCCTAGTGGGAAACAAGCAATAAAACAAAGATGAAGCACCAAATACGCTACTAGTGTAAATTGGCACAGCTTCATTGACTTCAGTGGAGTTGTGCCACAGAGAATTTGGCCCATCATATTTAAAATTATTCATTTAAAACTGCTCTTTAACTTTCAAGCACCCTACCCTATAAAAGTGTAATTATAAAAGGCATAACTATTTTAATCTTTTAAGAAATTAATTTCACATACCGGAGTTAAGTGCTTTGGGTTATTTTATACGCTTTGCCTTAATTATCTACGTTGCATTCGTAATAGAGTGCCATGAAAGGTGTATCTGTGAAATAATAAATCTAAAGTATCAGGGCAAATTATGTATTTTGGAAGTATGTAATTAATTGTAGTTTCCAGGGCAAAGGACCATAGCAGCTATTTAAATTCTAATTTACATTAAAACGAATAGAGTTAATTGCCTGTCCACAACAAATAAAAGAGAAATATGTAGCTTGGAAGGCAGCCACAGAGTCTCCAATCAATATAAATCTGATGTGCCTCTTTGTAGCTGAGACACATTACATTTTAATATCACATTCAGCAGTCTAGGAATATTGCTAGGAGTACAGGTCATTCAAATATGACCACTCAAGATGTGGAAGCCCAAGATAATAAGGGTCTGGTGTGCCCACGTTCAGAGAAAACAAATTGTTAGCATCACAGATCATTCTATAAACACAAAGAGAGCTGCATCTTCTTAGGGTTATCATAATATGTTAAATCTTATATACATACACACATTATGGTCATCTCTTTGTGCATGTTAAATTAGATAAAAACAAATACTCTTTCACTACAATCTTCCAGCAATACTACTTTATTTCTTAGAATTCAGAATAGTAATACTCAAGAACCCTAAAACACAGAGAAAGAAAACAGGCTGCTCCTAAGACAGCAAGTTACAACTCAAACCACCTTGTTTGAAGCTGGCTTTTTTCAGTGTGACTCTGATTTCGTGCTTCGCTACAGAGCCCCTGTCCTATAATCAAGACAAGAAAACACCCCCACTTCTAAAATGATAGCTTGCAATTCAAGCACAGTCCTCAATATACCCTATAATATATATAAATAAAATATTCTTATCCTCCATTACTCCTGGCAATGAGACTATTTGAAGGAACAGGGAGTACTCATTTGAGTTTGGATTGGAGAATTAAGCTCTATTTAAGTTTGTTACAAACCTATTTTGTGACACCGTGGTTGACATGGTGTCAATGTTTCATTTTCAAATACAGACCACTGTTAGCTTGGGTCTGACATGGGTCTATGAGGGGGACAGAGGGTGCAGTAGGGTGGGGAACTCAGCCTGTGAAGGCCACAACTATCACATGAGCCCAAGACCCATCACCAAAATCCCAGGTCTTTTACCTCTGGGAGCTGTTCATTTTATTCCTTGACCACACTGGAAACCAGCCACAAGTTGTGATGAATAAATACCAGCAGCCCAGTACATCACTTAGGTACTAAGTGGATTCCTACTTAACCCACTGTGGCTTGGAGGTGCTGCAAGGAAGGCAAAAAACCACCCTAGTCCTGTGCCAATTGGCCTATGGGAGAAAAACATTCCTTCCTTACCCCCCTAAACAGGCAATCGCCTAGACCCGCAACATCTATCAGACTGAGTTCCCATTCCTAGTTCGGGTGTGTAGGGTGGGCTGCTGGAACAGAGCTGAAAGAGGCACTGGGCTAAATCCTGGAAGCTGGGGAATGCTGGCCAAGCAGCATCCCACTCTCCCCGAGGGCCAACAGATGTTACCTATTGTCTCTGGGCACCTTTGCTACTAGGGCTGCCCCCCTTTCACTGTCAGCCCCATCAATTTCCCCACCTGTTGATGCAGAAGGGTGACATGGTCATCTCAGCTGAAGCCAGTAACTTCAGAGGCAGAAGCAACTTAAAAGGATGCTAGGGGGAAATGTTAACTAAAATTTTTCACCCCTCTCCCCAAAAGATGCGTGTCCTGTTGGTTTCAGATCAAAACTTATTTTACTCAAATATTTGTCACATCCAGCCAAAATTTAGGATAGAATTATTTGAAAACTAGTGTGTGGTCATGTACTTAAAAGACTATAACATAAGGAGTAGAGTTAAGTTTCCATGAGTATATATCAGCAAATACGGCAAATGTGTTGGGCAACTCCCCTTGTTTTCCCCGTGGTTTTCCTAAGGTGTAACTCAGTGTGGAATTTAGCTTAGACAACATTCAGACTTTCAAGATGCCAATAGCCCTGTGACCCTAAAGGCCAAATTCTGCCTTTACATGCATGCCTGCCACAGAACAGTGGCTAAATTCAATTCCTGCCTTTGTCTGTGTGATTTGGGGCAAGTACTTAACGCCCACTCTACCTAGGTTACCCAGCTATAAAAGGGAAATCAAACTTCTGTACTTCATAAAGTTGCTGTAAAGATCAGGTCCACAAATGATTGAGAGATGCCCAAAGAGGACAGTGATGAAGGCTAAATAAGTACATAGGTAGGTATGTACATGTATATACATTAAACATGACAACTGTATGTGACTATATAAAATGATCATTTTCTACCAAGTAGTATTTTATAGGCTAGAATCTCTCTATTATGCAAGTAGTGGTTTTCATTATATACTGCCACTGAGAGGGGAAGAAAAGAAGTCTGCATGCTTAACAAAGTTGCTTGTGGTGAGGATATGTAGCCTAGAAAAGGGGAGAAATTGCCCCTGTTAGATGCACTTTTGCTATTGTATGAGAGCTGTTTTGTTTCTCTGTGAGTGACACTGAAGTTGATGGAGATCCTTTTATCCTCTTCTAGAAACTGTTGCAAAGACTGGGATGATCCTCCTGGCCAGCGAGATCACATCCAGAGCGGCTGTTGACTACCAGAAAGTTGTGCGTGATACAATCAAACATGTTGGTTATGATGATTCTTCCAAAGGTAAGTGCCTCCAGCCACTTGTTTCTCTGGGTTTGGAAAGCTTTTGTTTCTAGCTTTGAGTATAAGGCTGTTGGCTTCTAAAAGTATCTGTAACCAATTTGCTAAGTGTTCTAAGGAACAAATATTATAAACTTTCTAGGATTAGCTGGACAGTGCAGTTATTCTGTGAACCTGAAATTCTGCTGTGTGTTTTAGGATTTGATTACTGCCTTGGAGCAGCAGTTTCCTGATATTGCCCAGGGAGTCCATGTAGACAGGAATGAAGAGGATATTGGTGCTGGGGACCAGGTTAGTATTCTAGTAACAGCTGTTCCCAGCTTGTGGAAACATTTTCTAGTTTATAGGACCATATTTAGCACTTTGTCAGTAGGTGGTTCTGTAGAAGGTGAGGTTTCAGACCCCTCTTCTCTCCCATAGGGCTTGATGTTCAGTTATGCTACAGATGAAACTGAGGAGTGCATGCCCCTGACCATTGTCTTAGCACACAAGCTGAATGCCAAGCTGGCAGACCTGCGTCGCAATGGCACCTTGCCCTGGCTGCGACCCGACTCTAAAACTCAGGTAAGTGGAGCCCTGTCATACACTGCAGTAATGGGCATGTACGAGAGAGCCTGGCTATAGCAAGCCAAGAGCAGAATGAATTTCCGCCTTTGGGGAGTGGTGGACCAATAATGAAATGACTCTAGTTTGTATTCTCAGTCCTACTTAGCAGTCTGGAGGGTGGAGAGCACTGCTGTCTCCCGTTAGGATCTGCTGTAGGGGAGGGATAGCTCAGTGGTTTGAGCATTGGCCTGCTAAACCCAGCGTTGTGACTTCAATCCTTGAGGGGGCCATCTGGGGCAAAGTCAGTACTTGGTCCTGCTAGTGAAGGCAGGGGGCTAGACTCAGTGACCTTTTGAGGTCCCTTCCAGTTCTAGGAGGTAGGATATCTCCATTAATTTAATTTTAAAAAAACAGTTACACCAGTGCAACCATTTTGAGTTAAACAGGGTTGCACAAATGAAATTAAGAGGAGAGATTTTCAATCAGAGGCTGTATACTGGACAGTGAACATCTTCATTACTCAAGGCACAATCTCTGTTTATGGTATTGCTGTTTTATATTCTATACTGTATCGGTCTCAACTATTCATCTGGCTAGTCCATTTCAATATTCCTAATTTTAGCATTTGGTAATTAAACTCCTCCTGGTGATGTTACTGACTATGAAAGACAGCTATTCCTGTTTGAGAGATCAGGCTTGGTTAGGCAGAATGGAAAATAGATGAGTTCAGCTGTATTAGAAATTTATTTATTTTTAGCAGATGTGAAAACTGCAAGAAAGAGCAGATGTGAGACTCATAAATCCTCCCAGTTACTTCACGCAAACTGACATATCTTCTCTGATTATGTCTGCAAACCACTTAATGCTTTGCTCACCTCAGGAGCATTTTTGCATAGTAGAGGGATGCTATAGAGGTTCTGTTTTTCTACAGTGCCTAGCACAATGGGGTTCTGGTTCATGATTAAAACTCATAGGTGCTATAATAATTCAAAAAATTAATAACAATAATCATATCAAGGAATGATAAATAAGGCAACCGTAATACAAATTAATCTGCCACTATTCATAGTCAGAATCAACACTATGGTCCAAGAAGGTTCTCTGTGTCTCTTCTGGACAAGGTAATAGAGTTTGATTCACCTTATTTGGCACTTTTCTATACTATAGTATGCTCCACTTGACTCTCTGTGCTGTACATACATTCTCAGGAACATTTTTTGGGGGGAGACATTGACCAAACATGTAGGATTGACAGTGCTCAAAATCTTCTTGACTCGTTCATTGTCATTCTCAGATAAGTTCTGATGTGCTGGCATTGTTGAGCTGGTTCTCACATTTTACTGAGCCAAGGGGTAACATAAGGACACAGCGAAGGTGTTCAAAGTTAGGGTACTCTGAAACTGTCACTGCAATTCTCTAACTTTGCACTATTATACCAACCCTCCAGGATTGTGCCATCACTACATACTATCAATGTCAGACCTGGCTAAATCACCATTGATTCCAATAGTTTTTCCATAAATAGTATGTCCACTACTGGATCAGTGGCTATAGGTAGATATGCAAAACCACCAGCAGTTTTGGACTGAAGCAAAGCCTCTTCACCAAGCCACTAGCTAAAGCAGCAGCAGAACAGACTTGCATACCATTATCTGCATAATATCCTCTCTTTGCACTGGCTCCCCCTGAAGAAAGTCAAGCTCAACATTTTGGACCAGATCTTCAAAATTCTCTAGTGGATTGGCCCAAGATATCCGAAAGACCCATCTTCTACCTCTACATGACCATCTACAGCAGCTGTGTTCTACTTGAAATCAAGCTCAGTAATGAGAATTGTGTGCACAGGTGACAAAACTTTCCGTTCCAAGACTGAAACTCAGCCTCAGAAGTGATTAGAGCTCACCATCTTCAGACTGAAGTGTAAACCCCCCACATTTTCAATGAGGCTTTTTACAATAAACCCAGGGCCTTGATTTGGAGAGAAAGAGAGACAAATCACTTCAAAAAGGATTTCTGTTAGAATCTGTATTACACCTGTACACCGATATAACGCTGTCCTCGGAAGTCAAAAAAATCTTACCACGTTATAGGTGAAACCGCGTTATATCAAACTTGCTTTGATCAGCCGGAGTGCGCAGCCCCGCCCACCCCTCCCAGAGCACTGCTTTACTGTGTTATATCTGAATTCGTGTTATATCAGGTTGCGTTATATCAGGGTAGAGGTGTACTTTACTAGACAGATTGTTTTGCATTTGTTTCTGGAAACCACTGCTCCCCCACCCCCTTTTCCAAAGCTCCCTCCCTTTTGCTATTGTTACTTGTGCTATTTCTGACCTTGCATTATAAGTTCTGAAGCAGGGACTGCATCTTTTATTAGTCCTATAAAAGGCCATCCATCTTGTGGCAGTTTGAGTATCATGATGTAGTTCGAACCTAAATCCTGCAGTCCCTACTTAGCTGATGTTCTCAGTGATGCACTGGGAGATTTGCCTGAGCACAGTCTGAAGAAATGGACCATTTACTTGCAAAATTTTCATCCTATTTAGCAAGTTGAACATATAGGGCCCAATCCTGCAAACAGATCCTCAAGCAAGGACTCTTACTTCTGCATAGCCCCATTGACTTCAGAAGGGCTCTGCCTAAGATTAAGGATTTATGCATGCAGAGTTGTTTGCAAGATTAGGCCTGTCACAAGGTCACTCACCATTAGTAGCACCTCCTCCTGGCAGTCCTGGGGATTAGCGCTGGCCAGGCATTGCACCCTCCCCAGCAGTGTCTCTCCAATCATCCTCTCACCCTACAGACCCCTCTTGCCCCAGGAACCAGAGCCTCCTTTTCATGACTCAGCCCTCCAACCAGGTCACCATACATGTTCCACCCTTCCAGGGGAATCAAAGTCTTTCTAGGACAACAGTCTCAGGCAGTACGCCCTTTCTTGCTTGCTGTATGCCACATCCTCAGTGGCTGGTAGGGGAACCCAGGCCCAACCTCTATTTTGGGTTCCAGCTCAGGAGGTCTCTGGTCAGCAGCTAAGGCCTGCACTGTCCTACCTTGCTGCTTCTTCCCCCACCTCTCCGGGCTCTCTACCTCCCTCCTCTAAGAGTGACTGCAATCCCCTCCTCCTCTCAGCTCTTGGGGTTTATACAGGCCTTTCCTGTTCCTGCCCAGCTGGGCCTCATTTAATCAATCCCCTGCTCCCTGGCTCCTCCTCCAGGCGCAGCCTGTGGAGTTAATTGGCCTCCCTGGCCATCTTAACCCCTTCCAATCCTGTGTGGGGTGGACACCTAATCACAGGCCCTTTAATTAACCCTGACATCCTCCAATCAGCTCTGGCCAGTTGCTGAAGTACATGGAAGTATCTCTTCAAGCCAAAAGAGGTCTTGGGAAGAAGCCCTAAGAATAGCCAAGCTTTGTGAAGGAAGCCTAGGCTGAGATTTATATTGTTGTTTTTTTAAGTTACCAGTAAAACCACATGCCAATAAAGGAATGAATTTAGGCACTACGGGTGGAATTCACAAAGGTACTGAGGTGCCTAACTCCCATTGATTTCAATGGGAGTTAGGTGCCTAAATACCTTTGTGAATCACATCCCAACTTGTGGTCTGTGTGCTCTAATTACCTTGGTTAACACCTCCACTCCTCCAGTGCAATGGAACTCTACAATAAGGGCAAATCTTCTACATGCAGGAGACAGAACTTTCTCAGAGGCCAGTCTGCACTTGTGGAATGAAACCTTCCCAGGAACTATGAAGCATCACAAATCTCACCACCTTCCGTGCTAAGGACAAGGTGCACTTCTTTGACGTGCCTTCTCTCATATAAAACACATAGCAGCATGTACATTTAAAACAAAAACCCTACCAAAACAAGACACACCACTGCATGCAGTTTCTCCTCTGGGGTGATGATGAGAGAGAGAATGAACCATGTGTATCAGTTGTTAGTCATGTCACTTCATGCACTACTGGAAAGCGCTCCTGCCCAGATCCACAAAAAGACTTAGGGCCCTAACTCCCACTTTAGACACCTAAGTCCAAAATTTTGGTGCTACTGAGGTCCTCAAAACCCCTGCTCAGCTGTCATTTAACCCTGGAGGCACCTGAAGTCCCTCTGGTAAGGTCCCCAAAATGCCTAAGTTTCTGCCTCTGGGCATGCTCACTGTTGCCTGATGACCAGCACCTATCTCATGCCTAAACCCCAGTGGGATCCTCAAACCAGGTGAAACTAGGCATTCCCCTGCCTTTCCTATCTGCAGGGCCCAATCCAGTAGGCGGTCTCAAAGTATGCCTAACTCCACACAAAACAGTCAAGGGGAACACCTCCTTAATGACCTTTAGCCCAGTGGTTAGGGCACTCACCTGGGATTGGAGACACCCTGGTTCGATTCTCCCCTCTGCCTGATGAGAAGGGAAACTCAAGTTCAAATCCTACCTCTCACATGAATGCTCTAACCCAGTGGTGGGCAACCTGTGGGCCACATGCAGCCCATCAGGGTAATCTGATTGCGGGCCTCGAGACATTTTGTTGACGGTGACCGTCTGCAGGCATGGCTCCTCCCCGCCACTCCCAGTGGCCGTGGTTCGCCATTCCCGGCCAATGGGAGCTGCAGGAAGCAGCGGGCCACAGGGACATGCTGGCTGTGGCTCCTATTGGCCGGGAACGGCAAACCACAGCCACTGGGAACTGCGGGGGGCCGCACCTGCGGATGGTCAATGTCAGCAAAATGTCTCACGGCCCACAGTCAGATTACCCTGATGGGCCGCATGTGGCCCATGGGTCACAGGTTGCCCACCACTGCTCTAACCCCTGGCCTATGGGGTATTCTGGACTGGGGCTCTCTCAGTTTCTCCTGCTGAAGCTTTTTCATTTTGTATCAAATACTTCATGAAATATTCATTCTCTCTCTCTCTGGCCCAATGATTCTATAGTTCAATGGTTAGGATACTCACATGAAAGGTGGCAGATACCTGGTGAAATCCCTTCTCCTCATCAGGCAAAGAGGGAAATTGTAACAACATCTCTAACATCCCAGCTGAGTACTCTAACCACGGAGTAAAATATTATAAGGGAGGCTGTTGCCCTTCTTCCTCCCTTGCCCCCACACCTAAATGTTTTGAGTTAAGTGTGTATTGCTGCTGTTCTTGCTAGAAATAGCTTAGGCAC